CATGGATCGGGACAGATGGTGATCAGAACGCAGCATCATCAGAATCATAAACGTGAGGAAATATTAATTTTTAATTTTAATTAGCTGTCAGGTTTTTCCAAACTAATTGCAGTCGCAAAGCCCAATGCGGGCAGAGCTATTGACCAGCTGTGTGCCACTGCACATCAAGTGAATACGGTAGGATATTTCCAATCCTGTGTCGTCACATGTTATAAGATTTGTGACAGAGAGCACCAAACAGCGAAGCAATACTATAGTACCATAACCAAATTATCATATAATACCATAATCGAAACTATACAAATATCAGCTGATGTTCATCTTTCAATACGGCATGTAAACTGAAAGGGGGAGGCGCATTTTTGAATATTCAATTCAAACCGTGTTAGGTAGAATGCTTCAGCATGCATTGTCAATGATGAACTTAGTCAGTATATTAAAGTTCTTTTTTCCAGGTATGTAATTGGCTGTTTCGGCTGTCCTTTTTCCTAGCAGGCGATTTGCCCGAATGCCATTTGAATATTTTGACATTCCCAGGCTCTAATTATTTCTCTAGCAAAGCGACAAAGAGTTGATGCAAGACCGCCATAGGTTAAAAGAATATAGACTCACGTCACGCGACATTTATCCTCACCTAATAACTCACGCCTCTCTTCAAAGTTGACATCAAGTTTTTCTTCGCCTAGTGTCCTGAAAACCATGATGCCGAGCCAAATCTGCTTCAGAACGAATAAGTTCAAATGTTTCAGGGCTTCGCTGCCTGAGCCCTTGTTTTTCGCCTGCGTACCTCAGCAAAGACAATAAGCACAATTTGCAATCGCGCTGAATTTCGATTTCCGTTCAAGGCCAATGATGCGATTCACTGTTTGCTTCTAGTTTTCTTTCTCACAGCCCACAGTAACCTTTGTTTCGCAGCAATCAAACAGAAATGCCGTATTGGTGAGTGACATCAACATGTGTAGTCGCGTGGCCTTCTCGATGATCACCCTGAACTCGCCTGTTCTTCGTTACGCACAAAGAGGTAATC